GGGGGCCCACAGCCCAGCGTGTGCGTGTTTTGGGGGCCCCACAGCCCAGCGTGTGTGTGTTTTGGGGGCCCACAGCCCAGCATGTGCGTGTGTGTATTGGGGGGGCCCACAGCCCAGCGCCCAGCCACGCGTACTGCAGGAGCCCCCTGGTGGCTTGAAGAGGAACTGGCCACCACCACCAGCATGGGAGGTACAGGCCCCGCTAGTGGCCAGTGGCCAGGGCCCCCACATGCAGAGCCTGACCCTGGGGGGAGGACGGGGCACCTGGCTGGGAGCATGGGGCAGCTGAGCTGGACAGCCTGAATGTCTCTGGTCAGGGCCAATGTGGAAAGCATTGGGGACCCGCGAGACCAGGCTCCACACACGGTGGCCACTGGTCTGTCAAGGAGGACTTCCAGCACTGCCCTGGCGCAGTGGCTTGTCTGGCCAAGACAAGCCAGACACAGGGCACTGCTGACCAGTCCTGGAGAGCAGAGGCAGCTCGAGCGGGGCGGGGCCTCCGCAGGCAGCCCCCACTCCGGGCGCAGCACCCCTTTTCCAGCTCAACCACCCAGCCTCTGGAGGTAAAGGCGCCTGGCCCGGAGGTTGGGCCCTGCCCCCGACGTGACCCCCCGGGGTCTCCCTGCAGCTGTCCGGTCTCGCCAGACGGCGACCCTCACGCTGGTGCTCTTGCCCCTGACAATCGCCTGTCTTATACACACCCCCGGTGACCCAGACGTCAGCCTGCCACTCCCTGCGCCATGTGCACGGCCCCGGGCCCTCTGCCTCTGGCTTGCCGGGTGGCCCCTGCTCTGGTGGGCCCCGGGCCCTGTAATGTCCTTGCTCTTTCAGGCCAAGTGACACTCACATGGGACAGGCCAGCCTGGCTCAGCCCCCACATCCACAGGCCCCACCCGTGTGCCACTGTCCTGAGTGCTGCAGCCTGGGACGAGGCTGCCGGGCACTACGGAGCAAAGGCTCTGCTCCAGGCCAGCCCTGCACTGCGGGGGCTCATGGGCGGTGGCGCCGGGAGCAGCCCAGGCCCCACAGAGGGCCTCAAGGGCACAGGAGACCCGGGAGCCTGGGGCAGTCCCCCAGCATCAGCATCACCTGCCCCTCGAAACCAGCTAGTGGCCAGGTGCAGCCCCAACCCTGTGGCGCCCCACACCCCCGAGCTGGTTCCCTTCAGCACATCTCTGGGAGGGGCTGGGGCCCCCACGTGCTCGTGCCCAGGGCTGGCAGGCCAGTGGGGCCCCAGCTCGGCTGCGTAAGGGCCCACGGGCAGCGCCGCCATGTCTCAGGACAGGCTGGGCCTGGTCCCACTGGGCACTACTTACCGGCTAAAGGGAGACTGTCGCGGGGCCCCCACCCAGCGGCCCCCACTGCCTGGAGCCCCTCTCCAGAGCCTGGGGGCTCCCTGCAGCACCTGGCAGGTTCCCCAGAGGAGACGCCCTGGGAACTGCTCACACCACCAGCGCTTCTGTCAAATATAAAGTTTATTTATTCACAGCCATCACGAATACAAAATGTAAAACAGGCCCCAGGCCTCGGCTGCCGGTGTCCGGTGCTCAGCCCTCCAGCACGGCGCAGCCGGCACACAGCGGCTTCTCCGGGTTGGCGCTGCAGCTGCAGGGGAGGGGCAGTCAGGGCGAGCAGGCCGGAGACAAGCCACAGTCATCTGCCGGGGACCTGCACCCCATGGGCACCCCTGCCAGCGCCGAGCTGAGAAGGCCCCAGAACCCGGCCTGCAGGCTAGGCCGCTTCCATCTGGACAGAGGCCCCAGGCCACCCAGGGCCTGGCAAAGGGAGCCAGAGCACAGCAGCTTGGGGTGCAGCAGGCCTGCGGGCATCAGGGTCTCCAGGAGCGATGCCGACACACTGGGCCGCAAGCTTGGGGCACCCAGGCCCCCCGCCCGCCGGTGCCCGCATAATCCCTGCCCTTGGCAGCCCAGACGGAGCCAGTGTGGGCGCTGGTGCCCAGCCACCAGCCACTGGGGTACGGGGACAGTGCCCCTCGCCCCCAGCAGCTTGGCATGAAGGTGGAGGAAAGAGGAAGCAGGAAGCAGAGGCTGCGCGGCCCCGCAGGAGGATGTGTCCAGAGACCCGGGCTGGGGTCGGGCAGCCGGTCCCTGTGGCAGGACGCACTGCACCCCCTTGCCCCCCAGACATTGCCACCGGCCCTGGGCACGCTGTGCTTTCCAGTTTACACGCAGCAGCAACCCGCAGGCACAAATCCAAGGACTCGAGGGGCCCCACCGCCTCCCCGAGTCTCAGACTCACTCAGCAGCGAGTCTGGGAGCCCCGCCATCTCAGGGGGCTGCTCCCCACCCCCAGGAGTGGCCGCAGGGCGGGCCTGGTGCCAGGGAGGCCACAGTGGCTGTGGGCCCCGCAGGAACCATGCCAGGAGAGGCGGCTGCCCCAGAAAGGCCCGGGGTACCGTGCCCCCCGCGGCCCCCCCCCCAACTTACTCCGCAAGGGCGCACTGGCCGCATGCCGCCTTGCTGTCAGCAGCTCGCGTCAACGAAGAGCAGGCTCCCGGTGCTACGCCCGCCAGGTCTGCGAGGGATGATCCGCCAGTCAGCCCAGAGGGACGCCGAGCGCACACGCAAGTGCAGCAGACGCTGGGTGTCCAGCAAGGGGCTCCCTGTGCCCTGCTACTGAGCCCAGGCCCGGTCCTGCCGAGTCTCAGGGGCATCCTGGGCCCACTTGGGCCGGCCCAGACCTACCCAGCATCCTGGGGAGGGGCAGGGACACGCCAAAGACAAGGCAGCCCACATGGGGAGGTGGGCGCCCCAGACCGGCGGTCTCTGCCTTCTCCTGGTCCAGGATGTGACCCCACTGGCTGCCTTCACTGACCGGTCTCGGCGCGGCTCCTCGTCAGTCGGCCATCTGGTCCAATCAGCAGCTGCCCCCGCAAGACCTGGGGGGTGCCCATGCGGCCGGGCGGCGGGGACTCTGGCAGGCCCGCCACATCACAGTCCTCCTCCCACGCGTGGGGTGCGCAGGCCCGGGCCCCGCGGAAGAGGAGCTGCCTGGTCTTTTCTGGGGAAGACAAACCTGTTTCTACCTCTGCAACAGGTGACCCCGTGACACCACGTCCGTGCCCCACCACCAGCCACCCTGTGCAGGCCACTCCCTGGCAAGAGGGCCCCTTTGCCCTCCTCCCTCCCCATGACAGCTCAGCTGCCACGGTCTCCTGAATGGAGGAAGATTCTGGACTCAGCCCCACCCAGCATCCCGGGCCCACAGCCTCCCTGCACAGCACTGATCCGGTCCAGGGACGGCCGCTCGCAAGCATGCAACTGACCACTTCAAGAGCACCCCAGGACCTGAGAGGAAATGGCGATCTTGTGCCCTCCCAGCTGAACTGGCCGCTCAGTGCCCAGGGCAGAGGCTAACCGGCTCACACACAGGTGCCCGGGGCCATCATAAGACCCAGCGCCCAGGACCACCTCCACAGTGCCCTGCCTAGGTCTTTCCGTCAGACTCCCAGAGCCCTGCCTAGGCAGGCCCCAGTTGCACCGCCCAGTGTGAAGTCAGGAGGCCCAGTTATGGGGTAACGGTTATCGTGTAACTGGGGTGGCTGAGAAGGCCCTGTCACACCAGCCCCTCCTTGGTCCCCCCTCCAGCCTTCCAGACCCCCTACCCCGCAGGGGATGACATATGGAGACATGGGCAGGCTGACCCTGGTCCTCAAGGGCTTGTGTAGAGAGGACAGGTCACTCATGCGCGCAGGCTGGGTGTTGCCCTCCCACTGGACTCCAAGGGCGCACCCCAAATCTGTTTCTTTTCCTCTTCCCCTGCAGTGTTTCCATTTTGGGAAACCCCCCACGGGGCACACGGCTTCACCCACTTTTCCACCAGAAGGCCCCGGGAGGACTGGCGTTGGTAACCTTGGCGAGCAAGGGCTGGGGCTGGAGCAACTGTCACAGTGGGGAGGGACAGCAGGACGAGAGGCCCGGCTGGTTCGCCCGCACCCGGGCCACGGTCTAAGGAAGCTCCAGGGCCTGGGCCCGCGCGCCAGATTAGCTCAGCTGCGTCGGCCACCCGCCCCGGCTATCAGCAGCCCAGTGACCGAGACGGCTGCGGCATCCAGGGCCTGAGGACCCGGCGAGAGGGCCGGGCGCGAAGGCCTCCAGACACTGCCGGCCCCGCCCCTCTGCGCACCTACTCGGCCCGGCGGCGGCCCAGGCCGGAGCTCCACCGCTCGCTCCGGGGACCCGAGCTGGACGGCGCCG